AGCGAAGATGCAAGAAATTGATGGGTGCATAACGGTAGACTACCTTAAGAAAAAATGGAAAAGTTTGCGAACGCAATATTTGCAAGAATGTCGGTCGGTGAAGAATTCCAAAAAAAGTGGCGCTGGTGTTGATGATGTCCACTGTCCGAAGCTTTGGTGCTTTGATCAACTAAAATTTTTACACAATCATGTGCAATTCCGTCAAAGTGTTACTAATGTAAGTATATTTTATGCGATATAAACATGCTTATGACATTTATTTCAATGTATGCATATTTGTTGTATATGTTTCAGGTCGAAGAAGGTTCTGATGACGCTTCCAGTCCCTTAAGCACAGAAAAGGTACCAAAAAAGCCGAAATGATAGCTGACAGAAAAGCAAATAAAAATAAATTTGAGTGGTTGGGTCGGCAAGTGACTGAGCAGATGGAAGAGGTGGATGAGGAGTATCAGCCGCAAGCAGTTATGGAGGTTCAAGGTGTTATTAATAAATACTGGCAGGAAACCATAATAAAAAGAACTGCGTCATCATATTCCACTGCATCACCACCGTCTCCGATTCCTTCACGGGATATTTTAGAGGAATCAATGCGGGGTATTTTCAGCGATGAAGATTTTGATATTTAAAAAAATCGCCATCCACCGACAAAATCATTTAAGAGCCACCGCACACCACAGACCGCCGATTTAGTTGGGCTCGCTAGTGTTTCCATTGCAGCACAACTACTTAGTCGGGCGCGATTAAGTTGGTGTAGCGTTCGCACTTCCATACATCTTCATTTATTTGAAGCGAGCCCAACTAAATCGGCGGCTGATAAAGTCTGTGGTGTGCGGTGGCTCTTAGACATTTTTAAATGTGGCTTTAAAGTTTTAAAATCTGATAAAGTACAAAGTACAATGACTAAGTAACCTTTTTTTTAAGTTATAAAATGAACTGAATTTTAGATTTTTTGTTTGTGTTTATGTTATGTAATTGTTTCTACCCAACAAGCAAATTAAACTTAAAGAAAGTCTTATTAAAGTTTTGTATTATAAACATTAAGCTTACAAAACGTTGATTTTTTGTTTATAAAACGCTTGAAAGTAAGCGTAATATAATCGAAAAGGAGCCTTGGTTATAAGCGTAGAAATATAAACTTACAATATATGCTGAAAAGAAAGCTTTTAATAAGCGTAAAAGTGTAAAGTGGAGTGCAATGGGGTATAGTCATTGCGCTGGGTATGCAGTTACAGTTGCATGGCTATACTCAATCCCGACTCTTGCGTCCTCGTTCGCGCACTCTGGGCAACGTGAGCAACCCATGTGCGAGATGCGGTAACCAATCCGAGTGGAGCCTTGGGTCACGGCAGAAAGAGAGGGAGCTTCGGTGGGGCCACTCTGACTTATTCGGTTTAAGGGCTCACTGAAGTCTGCAGCGTCTGTTCACCAGTAGGTGCGGCTGCAAGCGGGTGTCTGCTTGGAGCAAGCGGCTCGCTATATAAACGTGTATTTGGTTGCGAAACCACCCCCGTCCCAGCAATGGGTTGTGCGCTGGGCTTGGGACCCGCCACGTAAAAACCACTTCCAGTGAAGAAGCAAGGCAAAGCCTCGGATGAGACCCCCCCTTATGATGACGACCACGGCAAATGTTTAAAGGACTACGATTTGAGGGCATGCACCTGGAATGTCCGGACCCTTAATGGGGAAGGTGCCTCTGCCCGGCTGGTTGATGTCCTCGTAAGGACAAAAGCTGACATCACCGCCATCCAAGAAATGCGTTGGACGGGGCAAGGCAAACAATGTCTGGGGCCTTGCGACGTCTACTACAGCTGCCATGTAAAGGAGCGCAAATTCGGAGTTGGATTTGTGGTGGGAGAGAGACTCCGTCGCCGAGTACTGTCGTTCACCCCGGTGGACGAGCGTCTAGCCACAATCCGCATCAAAGCGAGATTCTTCAACATCTCGCTCATCTGCGCCCATGCCCCGACGGAAGAGAAGGATGAGGCATCCAAGGATCTCTTCTATGAGCGCTTGGAGCGCACGTACGAGCGCTGCCCCCGTCATGATATCAAAATCGTGCTTGGCGACTTCAATACCAGGGTGGGCAAAGAAGGGATCTTTGGAACCACCGTCGGAAAATTCAGCCTCCACGACGAAACGTCCGACAACGGATTGAGGCTGATCGACTTCGCCGGGGCCCGAAACATGGTAGTATGCAGTACTAGGTTCAAGCATAAAAAGATCCATCAAGCTACCTGGCTGTCTCCGGATCGAAAAACGAGAAACCAAATCGATCATGTTGTGATAGACGGAAGGCACGCTTCCAGTGTTTTAGACGTACGCACACTCCGAGGCCCAAACATCGACTCGGACCACTATCTTGTTGCAGCCAAGATACGCACCCGCCTCTGTGCAGCAAAAAATGTGCGCCCAAATATGCAAGGAAAGCTTAACGTCGAAAAGCTGCAATCACAACAGACAGCCAGCGCTTTCGCTACTCGACTCTCACACCTGCTCTCAGAGAGCACTCTTCAACAAACCGACATATGCGAGCAGTGGAACCACATTTACCGCTCATTAAGTACCGCCGCCGAAGAAGTAGTCGGATTTCAGCGAGCCCGAAAGAACAACTGGTACGATGAGGAGTGTCAGGAAGCTACAGAGAAAAAAGATGCCGCCTACAGGGCCACGCTGCGATCGGGCGCAACGCGCGCTTTGTGGGACCGCTATAGGGATCTGAAGAGGGAAGCGAGACGTATTTGCCGCAACAAGAAGAGAGAGGCAGAAATACGTGAGTGCGAAGAGCTTGAAATGCTGGCCGACAGGAGGAATGCCCGAAAATTTTACCAGAGAGTTAGGCGACTTACGGAAGGTTTAAAGACCGGGGCGCACTCCTGTAAGAACAATAATGGCGACCTAGTAACTGATGTCCAGAGCGTACTTAAATTATGGAGGGAACACTTTTCCGCCCTACTAAATGGCAGCAGCACAGAAAGTTGTGGAGAAGAAGAACCCGAGCCCGCAGTCGATGATGACGGAGTCGACGTTCCACCGCCTGACTATGACGAGGTACGTATAGCAATAACGCGGCTGAAAAACAACAAAGCCGCTGGAGCTGACAGCCTGCCAGCTGAGCTATTCAAGTACGGCGGCGAGGAGTTGATAAGGTGCATGCATCAACTCTTGTGCAGAATATGGTCAGATGAACGCATGCCCGACGACTGGAATTTAAGTGTGCTCTGCCCAATCCACAAGAAAGGTGACCCCGCCATTCGCGCCAACTACCGCGGGATCAGCCTTCTAAGCATAGGTTACAAGGTCTTATCGAGCGTATTGTGTGAAAGACTGAAGCCCACCGTCAATGAACTGATTGGGCCTTATCAGTGTGGCTTTAGACCTGGCAAATCCACCATAGACCAGGTATTCACAATACGCCAAATCTTGGAAAAGACCCGCGAGAAAAGGATCGACACTCACCACCTATTTGTCGACTTTAAAGCCGCTTTTGACAGCACTAAAAGGAGTTGCCTATACGCCGCTATGTCTGAATTTGGCATCCCCTCAAAACTCATACGGCTGTGTAAAATGACGTTGAGCAATACCACCAGCTCCGTCAGAATTGGAAAAGACCTCTCCGAGCCGTTCGCCACAAAACGGGGTTTCAGACAGGGCGACTCCCTTTTATGTGACTTCTTTAATCTGATGTTGGAGAAGATAATAAGAGCTGCAGAACTGAACCGCTCAGGAACAATTTACTACAAGAGCGTGCAATTGCTGGCTTATGCCGATGACATCGACATCATCGGTAACAAAAACCGCGAAGTCTGTTCTGCCTTTTCCAAGTTGGATAGGGAAGCAAAGCGCATGGGTCTGGTGGTAAACGAGGACAAGACGAAGTATCTCCTGTCATCAAACAAACAGTCAGCACATTCGCGCCTTGGCACCCACGTCACTGTTGACAGTTACAATTTCGAGAAAGTAGAGAATTTCGTTTACTTGGGAACCAGCATTAACACCGATAATAATGTCAGCATTGAAATCCAACGTAGAATCACTCTTGCCAACAAGTGCTACTTTGGACTGAGTAGGCAATTCAGGAGTAAAGTCCTCTCTCGACGTACGAAAACCACGCTCTATAAGTCACTCATCATGCCCGTACTGGTATATGGCGCAGAAGCATGGACAATGACAACATCCGATGAGGCGGCTCTTGGGGTGTTTGAGAGAAAGATTTTGCGGAAGATTTACGGTCCTTTACGCGTTGGCGACGGCGAGTACCGCAGACGATGGAACGATGAGCTGTATGAGCTTTACAACGATATGGACATAGTGCAGCGAATTAAAATACAGCGGCTCCGCTGGCTTGGTCATGTTGTTCGAATGGACACCGACGCTCCAGCTCTGAAAGTATTCAACTCGGAACCCGCTGGTGGTAGCAGAGGAAGAGGGAGACCCCCACTGCGATGGAAAGATCAGGTGGAGAAGGACTTGGCTTCACTTGGCGTTTCCAATTGGCGTCAGTTGGCACAGAGGAGAAACGACTGGCGTGCTTTGCTGAACTCGGCCAAAATCGCTTAGGCGGTTACAGCGCCAAAAAAGAAGAAGAAGAAGAAAAGTGTAAACTTATAAGAAAGGTTAAAAAAAATTTGTTTATAAGCGTATGAATATAAACGTACTAAAAATTTTCAAAATAAAGCCTTTTATAAACGTTTTTATAACCCTTTATTTAAAGATATTTCATTAAAAACTCATACATAGATTGCTTACCATCTAGAAACTAAAAGAAATACGAATTTTCGGCGGACTCATCTACAGTCGCATTTTCTTTTTTTTATATGGAAGAAAATAAGCAATACCATTACCAAACAAAAAAGGGCCAAAAAAAGCCATAAGTTGTAGATACTTCAGTGTTGGAATTTTTTATAAAAAAATTTAATGGGCTACAAAACTGCATACTCAGAATCTTTAAAGGAAAATCTTATTAAAAAAGCTAGAAATTTTTACGAAAGTTTGACCTTTTTTTTAAATAATATTTGTATTATAGGGTAGGAACAACATATTAATATGAGCTTATAAATTATACTTTTTAATTTATAATTTGCCTTCTTCGTTAAAATATTCTGTGAACTCTTGCCTTATGAGTTCAGCTTCGCCTTTTCGTGGATTATATGGTACATCTGTATAAACTTCTGGGTATTGCTAATACTTGCAGTTTCTAGGGGCGTGTTGATATATGTATTATCGGTTTGTAAAAGAAAATTATGAATTGCGATACAAGCCAATGTGACTTTTTCTACGGTGTCAACTTTTAGGTTCATTGTGGTTAAAAAAACTCGAAATCTATTGCTTAGGATTCCAAACGCATGCTCAACAACATGCCTAGCTCGAGAGAGCCGTAAATTAAATATTTGTTTCTTTTTATTTTTCGTGTGATACGGATATGGCTTCATTATGTGCTTTTGTAGCGGAAAAGCGTCGTCCCCTACAACAACATAGGGAACATTCCGTCCCCTTCCAATTAAAGAGCTTTTTGGCAAATGTTCTTTTTCTAAAATTTCTTTAAGGCGATTCTGTTGTAGCACACCAGCATCATTCGCACGCCCATTAGTCCCTACATCCACAAATACAAAACGGCAATTGGCATCAACTAAGGCCAATAGAATTACACTATAAGTGCCCTTGTAGTTACGATAAAATGCACCGTCCTTCCGCAGCGGCCGAAAGTTGATGTGCTTGCCGTCCAATGCGCCTAAACAATTTGGAAATTGCCACTTTATGGCGAATTCTTTCGCTATAGCTTCCCATTCCGCAAAGTTGCTTGGCATCTTTAAATAATAAACTTATACAATTTATGTTTAGGAAAGACTAACAAATTTACGTACAAGCAGGTGTAGCACTTTCAATTTTTCAAATAATATTTTGCACACTTCGGGTATGGTCTCGCTAATAAAGGACGTTGACAAACGTGTTTGGTAACTTATAAACGTTTCACCTAAAATAAATATATTTGTTTAATGCACTACACTTTGATTTTCCTGCGATTACAGAACATACCAGTGGCAAGAAATCTCAACGTCACGGCCAAACTTCTCCGCTGCAGAAATAGTTTCTCTTCTCAGCGAACTACGCCGCTCGATTTCTGGTTTAACCAGATCTAATAAAATGTCAAATTGACTTTTGAAACCCCCAGAATCTGAAGTGAGAAGTTCCTTGGTTAGGAACACAAAAGAGCCTCGATTATTCTTCTCAGCTCTCCACTCCTTTACCCACATACGTTTTCGTATTCTTCCCGGTAGTGCAGCAGCTTTTTCGCACAAATCATGTAAGCCTTTTTCATAAAAATAATTAGTACATGCGTTTGTATTAAGTTTAAGTTCAATCTCTTACCATAAACAATTTCGTCATCGCTATCTTGTTCAATAAATTTGGTGGTGACGTCCAAGATTTCTCTTAAAATAATTTCTTTTTGGTATTCCATTTTTTGCATTTATACTGCCTTCAGTGTCAAATTCCAAATGTTAAATGGGAAGCAACGAAAAGTTCAAAAGAGACAAGAAAACTTGAAACGAATTGACGGTACGGAGGTATCTGTACTCTTCCCCTCTCTTCCCACCTCCTTCGCCAACGAACGAGCAGACTTGAAAGCAAGACTTGACGTGTCTGAAAGGGGACTAAGTGCAGATTAAATGTATGATCTGAAAATGAATAGTGAAAGTTAATCAACAATTTCTCCTTAAGTAGGCCATCTGAAATTATGCATTATGGGCTGTTTTTGCTTATGCAGCGTTTTTGCTGCATTTAAAATGCAACATTTAGCAACATTTCATGCTATCGCATTTAGCAAATGTACATTTACGCTAGTTCGAAATCGTATGCTTTGGACAAACAGCCGTGTTTCAGTCGCTTAAGCTGATGCCACATAAAACTTTTGCTTCGCTTTACGTGACAGATTCGCTTTGACAGATAACATGAATTGTATGAAAATGCACAAAGCACGCCACATAGATCGTTGGCGAAGCGAAGAGATGGCCAACTCCCATCTTTTTACGCATCAACCGGTTTAATATTTATTTTGTTTCGTCCAAATTCGCGCAAAATATATAAAATCCACAGCAATTTTGACGCAGCAGTACAAAATTGTTTTCTTTGCGTTCATTGTGGCATACCTTTTGCGTCTGGCGCTTCGCTGGCAAAGTTATAAATGTCACGCAAAGCTACAAAGTTTTATCTGGCATCAGCTTTATGGTCCGATTATCGCAACTTAACGTTACTTATGGCTCTCTCTTAAAAATTCTGTTAAATGGGTGTTGCTTATAATTGAACAGCCGAAACTTAATGCCACGTCGAAATCTGTTTCATTTTGATTCTCTAAGGCTTTCTGCACATTGGTCGTCCAATCGTAGTTGCTTCATCGTCACAATCATGATGCAACGATTACATGACGACTACACTTTCGCACACTCGGTCGTGATATTTCAATTCATTTGGCGCCTAAAAATTCACTTGGAGCAGGTATTTTCTGTTTTTCTAGTTGATATTTTCGCGAAATATTTACAAAAACCTGCAATTTTTAAAATATAGACTGTGCTGCAACAATTCTAGACATAATTTTTCACTAATATCTCTTCTTTTCTTTTCCTGAAATGTGTTTTGGGCATGCACACAGAGACTTTTTACAATTTCGTCATATTTTATAGTTAAAACGCTCACATTTATTGAATTTTAATGCAATTATCCACTTTTTAATAATTTCCACAGATTTTATGCAAAAAATACTAATTTGTATGCAATTTTAATGCAAATATTTACTTTTTCACTAATTTTCCCCATAAAATGTAAACAAACAGTGCGTGCACAACGATTAGCAAACGACAGTGCCGTACTTATCCGTTTCTGCATCTTCTACGATTTGCCGATAATTAGCCGATAACGACAAGTGTGCAGATCTCCTTTGAAATGCATGTGCTTGGCTCAAAATTTCAGGGCGAGACGATAACGCAACTATGATTGGACGACAAGTGTGCAGATAGCCTAAGTTCTACGTTCCGTTAAGTTAAGTTAAGTTGCCATAATCAGGCTTTTATTCAGATCCGTATCTATTACGATCGATTCTCACGGAAAAGATAATGTGCAAAAAACCCTACTGAAAAGGAAAAAAAAATTTTAAGCAAAAATTCAATACAAAAACTTGAATTGTTTTAACCATAACCGAAAATTTGTTTGTGTATATATTCATTTGTCGATGCTGTCAATAAAAAATTTCCCAAAAGGGAATGTGAAAAATCGCGTCGACAAAAGTTTCCGTGTATAAACACAGTCTTACGAAACAAAACGAACAGAGTGGATCACAAATTGATCCAGATTTCTATCAGCATCACATCGATGTTGAATTGCGTAACTTTTCTTTATGCAAATATTAGAAAATAATAAATGAAATCTCGATCGAGGATCACTGAAACGCAGCTAGCCACTGTATACGCGAAAAAGCAATGTTGCCACTTTTGTGGAAATTTTGGAAGATCACAGGGTTGCTTTTAGCATTTAGATTCTTAATGCAAAAATGGAGTTGCTGCTGAAGTCTAGAAAAAAGAAGTCTGATGAAGAGATGTGGTGATCTCCGAAATTGCTGCTATAACTTCTACCGCTTAGACTTTGTGCTTTTTCAATTTTTCCTAATAAACAATCGTGGTATAAATCTCAATAAAAATATCAAAAATAAAAAATTTTAATAAGCCACATTAACATTGACAAATACGGAGTTGCATTTAGTTGCATTTAGGTGACGAATTTTGTGTGGATAAATGTACATTTAGAGTAGCATTTAGAGCTAAATGCGCTAAATGTGATTTTACGCGTAATGCCATGTTCTGACCGACATCGAAAACATGTTTTCGTTGCTAAAACTAGATTTCGACCTAAAACATGTGTTTTCGTCCATGTAAAATCTGTCAAACGGAAACCAGTTTTCGTTGAAAACTACTTGAAAACTCACAATTCCGTATCAATTTCGCGTACAAAATGAAATTCACCGTTATACTTAGAAATATAACCATACCCAACACCCCAATTAAGCCACGGGGACAGTAAAAAAATATTTTCCATGAAAAGGTTTATATTTTTAATGCTTACTGGGTTATATTCTATCTTCTTTTGTCTCTCATTCTTTTGTATATTTTGGAAATTGACAGCTGAACTCCGCCATTTAATTTGCATATGCAACCAAAGTCAGACGTGTGATTTTGAAGGTATATTTATTTAATGAATTGTGATGAATTGGTTAATATTAAAGTCGTAAAGCAAGTTATAACAAATCAAGTAAAGTGCAGAGAACACCTTCCTGCGTAGGCGGCCTTCGGCGGCACTTAGGGATTATAACCCTCAGGCAGTAGAATTCTCCTTTCTGTGTTGCCAAAGAAGAGGGCTGAACACCTTTTGCAGAGAGCACCTTTCTGCGTAGGCGGCCTTCGGCCGCACTTAGGGATTATAACCCTCAGGCAGTAGAATTCTCCTTTCTGTGTTGCCAAAGAAGGGGGGCTGGACCCCTTTTGCAGAGAACACCTTTTAGAATTCCCTTTCTGTATGGTTAGTAAAATAATAAATAGAGCGCGGAATATATTTATTTTTCTATTTCTAATTTGTAGACATAATTAATCGCCTGGATTAATTGCAAAAACATGTCCTTTTTGGCCTTTTTGACATTACGCCTCCACAGATACTCTACCACCACAACTGCGAAATTCCCAGTATGGTTATAATTTCGTGTTGAAAAAACCCGCTTCGCCACCCTCCATTGCGATTCAATTCGCTGGGTGTGGGTCCCGTCTTCTGCTACGAACGGATTAATGGCGTCGCTATGATTGACTTTCTGATGGGTGAACCCATTATCAGAAAGACAATCATATGCGCGCCAGAAATCCGTCCTTATTATCGACCCCGCAGCCACATGCTTCTTGATCAGCGGAATAAGAATATCCGCTGATCTGCAGTTATCTGGGCATACTTCAAGGCGTAGATCCTCACTGCCATCTTCGATCATGCCCAGGACCCAGTGACCCTCCACTCGTCTGCCTAAAAATAAGAAAGAGAAAATTAAAATCATAACACAACATTCGAATAAAAATTACCTTTGGTGAATTTCCTCTTTCCGAATTTACTCTCGTCAATCTGGACTATCTTCCCGGGACCTCCAATTTTTCCGCTGGTTTCTTGGTGGTCCAACTGCTATATTACCACGGCTTCTCTGCAATAACTATACCAGTCGGTGATAGTCGCAGATGATAGTGTTTTTGGTTCCTTTAAATAGTCTTGGCGTAGAACCATTTCGCGGTTAAAATTCTCAACAAAGCAGTACATTAAATGATATACGGACGTCCTCAAACCACGTCCCTTTCGCTACCGAAACGCTAGCCCTTTTGGCGCAG